CAGCGCAGGGCGAGCAGGACAGGAGGTGGAAGGCGAGAGAGGGAGGGAAAGGGAACGAGGAGAAGGAAGAGAGAAGGGAGAGAAGAGAGAAGGAAAGAGGAAAAGAGAAAGAAAAGAGGGAGAAAGGGGAGGAGAAGGGAAGGAGAGAAAGAGATGGAGAGAGAAGGGAGAAAATGAGAGAGGAAGAGAGCAAAAAGGGAGAGAAAAATAAAGGGAAGGAAAGAAGGGAGGAAGGGAGGAAGGAAGGAAGGAAGGAGGGAAGGGAAGGAAAGAAGGAAAAGAAAGGAAAGAAAGAAGGAAAGGAAAGAAAGAATGAAGGAAGGAAAGAAGAAAAGAAAAGAGAAAGAAGAAAAAGAAAGACAGAAGAAAAGGAAAGAAAGAAAGAAAGAAAGAAAGAAAGAAAGAAAGAAAGAAAGAAAGAAAGAAAGAAAGAAAGAAAGAAAGAAAGAAAGAAAGAAAGAAAGAAAGAAAGAAAGAAAGAAAGAAAGAAAGAAAGAAAGAAAGAAAGAAAGAAAGAAAGAAAGAAAGAAAGAAAGAAAGAAAGAAAGAAAGAAAGAAAGAAAGAAAGAAAGAAAGAAAGAAAGAAAGAAAGAAAGAAAGAAAGAAAGAAAGAAAGAAAGAAAGAAAGAAAGAAAGAAAGAAAGAAAGAAAGAAAGAAAGAAAGAAAGAAAGAAAGAAAGAAAGAAAGAAAGAAAGAAAGAAAGAAAGAAAGAAAGAAAGAAAGAAAGAAAGAAAGAAAGAAAGAAAGAAAGAAAGAAAGAAAGAAAGAAAGAAAGAAAGAAAGAAAGAAAGAAAGAAAGAAAGAAAGAAAGAAAGAAAGAAAGAAAGAAAGAAAGAAAGAAAGAAAGAAAGAAAGAAAGAAAGAAAGAAAGAAAGAAAGAAAGAAAGAAAGAAAGAAAGAAAGAAAGAAAGAAAGAAAGAAAGAAAGAAAGAAAGAAAGAAAGAAAGAAAGAAAGAAAGAAAGAAAGAAAGAAAGAAAGAAAGAAAGAAAGAAAGAAAGAAAGAAAGAAAGAAAGAAAGAAAGAAAGAAAGAAAGAAAGAAAGAAAGAAAGAAAGAAAGAAAGAAAGAAAGAAAGAAAGAAAGAAAGAAAGAAAGAAAGAAAGAAAGAAAGAAAGAAAGAAAGAAAGAAAGAAAGAAAGAAAGAAAGAAAGAAAGAAAGAAAGAAAGAAAGAAAGAAAGAAAGAAAGAAAGAAAGAAAGAAAGAAAGAAAGAAAGAAAGAAAGAAAGAAAGAAAGAAAGAAAGAAAGAAAGAAAGAAAGAAAGAAAGAAAGAAAGAAAGAAAGAAAGAAAGAAAGAAAGAAAGAAAGAAAGAAAGAAAGAAAGAAAGAAAGAAAGAAAGAAAGAAAGAAAGAAAGAAAGAAAGAAAGAAAGAAAGAAAGAAAGAAAGAAAGAAAGAAAGAAAGAAAGAAAGAAAGAAAGAAAGAAAGAAAGAAAGAAAGAAAGAAAGAAAGAAAGAAAGAAAGAAAGAAAGAAAGAAAGAAAGAAAGAAAGAAAGAAAGAAAGAAAGAAAGAAAGAAAGAAAGAAAGAAAGAAAGAAAGAAAGAAAGAAAGAAAGAAAGAAAGAAAGAAAGAAAGAAAGAAAGAAAGAAAGAAAGAAAGAAAGAAAGAAAGAAAGAAAGAAAGAAAGAAAGAAAGAAAGAAAGAAAGAAAGAAAGAAAGAAAGAAAGAAAGAAAGAAAGAAAGAAAGAAAGAAAGAAAGAAAGAAAGAAAGAAAGAAAGAAAGAAAGAAAGAAAGAAAGAAAGAAAGAAAGAAAGAAAGAAAGAAAGAAAGAAAGAAAGAAAGAAAGAAAGAAAGAAAGAAAGAAAGAAAGAAAGAAAGAAAGAAAGAAAGAAAGAAAGAAAGAAAGAAAGAAAGAAAGAAAGAAAGAAAGAAAGAAAGAAAGAAAGAAAGAAAGAAAGAAAGAAAGAAAGAAAGAAAGAAAGAAAGAAAGAAAGAAAGAAAGAAAGAAAGAAAGAAAGAAAGAAAGAAAGAAAGAAAGAAAGAAAGAAAGAAAGAAAGAAAGAAAGAAAGAAAGAAAGAAAGAAAGAAAGAAAGAAAGAAAGAAAGAAAGAAAGAAAGAAAGAAAGAAAGAAAGAAAGAAAGAAAGAAAGAAAGAAAGAAAGAAAGAAAGAAAGAAAGAAAGAAAGAAAGAAAGAAAGAAAACCCCCCCCCATCTCACTCTCCCTCCGACCATTGTCAAACTAATCTGGGTGGATGTTAAAGGACACTGAGCTATGGGTGTTATCACCCAGCCTGACAGCCACTGTCAGCTGGGGTTAAATCAGCAGGGCT